TTTCTTCTTTTTTTAGTCTTTTTTTTCTTTTTTTTTTTTTTTTTGGTTGGTCCGGACCAGGCAGACATCGGGCGCCGGGTATGGAGACGTCCTGCTCCCTACCACCACTACCATCCTGCATCCGCGTTTTAACCCATGTCAGATAGGAGACGAGGGTGGAACGCCTATATCCCGTCGCGTATATCCGCGGAAAGTAGAGAAACGAGGGAGCATAAAGGGTGGAGGAGAAGAAGAAGGGGTGGTGTTCGGGGGTTGACTGGGGGGTGGACGACTACGTCGGCTCCAGCGTGGGGCGCCAAGTGTTTTGATGCTTGTTATGCGAAGGGGAGCCTGATAAACAACGAGATGGAGAACGGACCTGGATCATCACCATCCACCCCCTGCCCCCTTGCCCTCCCCCAACTACTACTACCTCTTTGCTCGCGACCGACTGGCTACGTTTCTCTCATTACGAAAGTATCGATACGTCGACACCGATTCTTTGTATCTTTTTTCCCCATTTTACCACCCATATTGTTTTTTTTCTCCTTTTATATATGTCTTATTTCTCGATCTTTTACTTCTTTTTTTTTTTTTTCTTTTCTTATTAAGTTGTCAAATTAATTGACCATAGTCACTTATAAATGTATTATAGGAAAGAGAAGGAAAAAAGAAACGTTGGGTGGGAGAGGGAAGAAATGGCGGGAGATTTGAAAGGATCATCCCTTACGCGTAAGTTTTTTCTTTTTCGTCTACACACGTGTGGACGTTGTTACACGCCATACAACAATAATAAAGTGGATTCGAATGTATATGAATGACATCATTTGAAAGAATATATTATAATTGTGTATGTGTGGAGAAAGATACGTAGGTGGACGACGAGAATGGCGTCGAGATCGGTGTCGTCGGCGAGACATCAGCTTGCACCCCATATGAAAGAAAGAAAGGATGAAAGAAGATAGGGATTGAAGAAGAAAGGGGTGGTACCGACGCCAGGGATGCTAGTCCTTCTCTGTTAGTTGATAGTGGGTGGTGGTTACTAGTGCTAGTGGTGGTGATGGTGGTGGTGGTGAATCAGAGGGAGAAGGGTCGGACTCCAGTCGTGTCCTCTGCACGCGCCACCAACTAAATATTGTGCGATCGTCCGGCTCACGATCAGTCGACGCTCGACGACCGAGACGGTCGGTGGCCTGAGACGTCGTCTTCATTCTTTTCGTGAACATCATCATATTTTTATTCCTATCGATAAGTTATATTCGCGATTAGATTGTTTTTTCTTTTTATAAAGGAAATAATATACAACAAGTATATTATGTACGTATCTCTTTACTCAAAAAATAAATAAATAAATAAATAATAAAGAAATCGATGTTTATTATCGTTTATTATAAGTCGAATAAAATGATAGATTCCTAGGGCTTTTATTTCATTTAATTATCATTCAATTTCATCTAGAATTCTCGGCTGTGCAAAAGGAACAAATATATTCCCCCTTGAGCAAACGCCAGACGTTCGAAAATTCGCGAAGAGCGCTTGCGCGGAATAAACACCAATCGTATCGCTCGTACGTCGCAACAGGTAAGGGGTTAAAAGACGAGTTTGAAGATTCCAAGATGTAGTTTTCTTCCATTATGCATGCGTTTTATTTGCTCGTTAGTTTCCATTTAAGTATTACATGATGAGTTTGTTGAAACATTGATTAATGGGTACCCAAATTTTAGAGTCAATCTTACCGACCTATACACCGATCACAATAATTATCGTAAGATGGCGGGAAAGGGATGAGGATTAATTCACAAATTGGTTTGGTCGTAAGGTGGCACTGAGTTCGCTCGAAGAATTACAGCGGGCCAATGTGCGCGGTATGTTGTACGTTGCGAAAGCTAGGGGGGAAGGGGGAGAAAGGGAGAAAGAGGGTGATGGTGGTATATACATGAGATGATGGGGAAGGGGCAAGGGAGAGGCAGAGGAAGGAGGTTTGGTCGGACAGGCGCCTACGGCGGGAATCCAAGTGGCGCCAGCGTTAACGTAAGCGTCAGCCTTAGCGCCGGCCGTGCGTCCGGATCGGCCGATATCATCCAGGAAGTTACGAGCCGCACCTGTCCCATCATACTTCTCCCACCTTTCCTTTTCCTCCTCCTCTTCCTCCTCCTCCTCCTTGTCGTCGTCTCCACTTCGTACCCATCGTCGTCGTCGTCGTTGTCCTCGTCTTCTTCTTCGTCGTCATCGTCGTTGTTGTTGTCGATTATATGCAGGGCCGCTCGCAACGCAGCTGCACGATCAAAAACCATTTCTCGAGGCTTCCGTTGGAAGCTCGTTTGGCGATAAATATAAAAAGAACTTTAATACCGGAAGTGGAAAATGAAATAACGTTAGATATATCCGTCTTCATTACATCATTAGAATTTAATCTTTACTTATTCTTAGACAAGTTATCTCAACGATGCAATTATCATAATTCTTTCTTTCTACTTCGTTCATTCCAATTGAATTATTATTGATAACTCTCGCGTCATTCTCGATCGAAATTTTCAAGTTTTCGATGATCGAGTCACGCAAGCCGAGTCTGAAGTCTACTTGAGAAATACTTTACAATCCGTCGCGTCACTTTGAATAATCGGTAATGCGAAATCGCGTAAAGACTGACGCCAGAGATGCTAATAATGATCAAGAACGATTACTCGATGGTATTCGATTCGAGAAATATTACTAAGATCATATGAAAGATTAATCTCTTTCTTCCTATTTTTATTTTTGCGTCATATCTCGTCTCTCTCTCTCTCTCTATATATATATATAGAGATGTTCTTTTTTGTACTGTAATTTTATAAGTATAGATATACATATATCATACCTGTTAACAGTCGAGTTTCTTGTCAAACTATGTTATGAAATTTGACGACACTTTTTTTGAATGAGATAAACAGTCTGATATTTTTTCGATGTTAACGATGATTGGTCATTCTGACAAGAACTATTACTACGTGCTGCTTCATCGGTACCAGAAAGTTACTGAAAAAGATTATCTCGGAACCAAGAATAGCGCAAAATGTCTCCGAGCTTCGCGAAAGATGAATTGTAGCGGAATCGTGAGTGGTCGTTTCGAAGAAACGACGATGATCACTCTTTCTCACTCTCGCTCATGTTAGACTTGGAATTTGGAGCGTTGACATCGGCGCCAAGCGAGGGTTCAAACAGCTACCAAAGAAAACTACCATTTTCTCTCTTTGTGTCGAGAGTGTCAAAGCTCGTGAAACCTCTGGGGAACGCGCGAGGACAGGAAATTAATAACGTGTAATCATCCTCTAAGATGTCCACTCTTCTCCTTCTTCCTCCATTTGTTTTTATTTCAACAGCTATTATTAAACATTGAGGAGATAGATTTTGTAGAAAATCGTGGTCGTCAAATAATCTCAGAACTCTAGTACATAAATTTAGTAGAATAAAAACAACAACAAAATGTTGAGAGTCGCAGTAGGGTGTGTTTCTATGTTCAGTACTTCTATACTTAAATTATCTATGTAGGTTTAACTTGATTATTTGGTCTTATATTATGTCGTATACGTTCCATTCCTCGAGTTACATTGTTCTAACTAGGCGCCGTGTTGATCGTCAGTCTCATCATGACTTCACATTAGCCACTGTCCGTTTCGTCCGGCAGCGGGTGCCATCGGCGCGATATGTCAAGAATGGCGCCATGCTCCGAACGTTCGTTCGGCTCCGTGGCATCGGGAACGCGCCAGTAATTTTCGCGTTTCGAAATAGAACGAAATAAAAGTAGTACGTAGTACGTACCGGGGGCTCTTTCGGGCACGCACACTATGTATACCAAATCGTTTCTAAAGATGGCGGCGCCAAGATGATGAGGACACGTCGCGAATCCTCCTTGACGTTTGCCCCTTCTGATTCGTCGTTTGATTTTAACTTCTATCTTCGTTTGTTGTTTCTTAAAATTTTTTGGTATATGGGAAAGGGAAGGGGCATGGTTTTAATTCGAATGAAAAGGTACCAACTTACTCTGACGGCCCTGAAGAATTTTACCAAGCTTCATGGTGCCGTCTAGACATGTATAGGGAGACGTAACATTTGTGTTTGTGTGTATATGTCTATGTGTATATATATATATAAATATATATAATATATACATATTATATCGGTAAGAGTTGAAAGAAGAAAGAGCTAGGGACAGTTTGCGGAGGCCAGGCGCCTGATTACTAGCCAGCTCCGGACGCCAGACGTACATAACTAAATAACTTCCTAAATTCTATATCATTTAGGAACGGGCCTTCGGAACGAACGAAATAACGCGTCTAGACGACGCTCAGGAGTCGGGAGGGTTGGGATAAGGGTGGGGAGAACGAGTTCCGATGCGAGTAGGCGTGCACTTACCCTTCTTCCTTTCTCTCTCTATCTTTTTTGTTGTTGTTTTGTTTTCAATATAATGCAACGTTTCTTTGAGCGATATATTTTGAACAATGCGAAATTTGCGAAAAGAAACCAACAAAATTTCGTTAAGGAATTTTCTTAATCGACTATTGCAAGTTTAGGATGAAACGGTGAGGAGCAGAAAACTATAAATTTGCCTTTTGGAATACCATCGAGGAAAGTCCCGTCGGCTTATTACAATATTACGTCCGCAAAATCGCGAAACGAGTTTCTAAAATTAGACAATTTATGAGCGACGATCTTACGACAGTGTGTGTGTGTGTGCAGTGGTATGCCACTCGGGATCCTTTTTTAGCGTTTCTCCTAATTTCTGACCGGTCTGGCGCATACCTGGTCTCCCCAAGAGGCGGGTTTCGGATTAAAGAGCGTATCGGCATTTCTTTCGGGGATATCGAAAAGGGTTTATCTTAAAAGTCGGCACCGGGATTTTGCACGCCTTACTATCGAAATTTAAAAGCGTGATTATCCTCTTACACGTTCTCCTACTCTAATTATTATCTTTTTGATTTACATTATATACACAATGCATAGATCATTGATTTACTAACCCAAAATCTTTTTTATTTTTTCAGATACGAGTACATATATATATATATATATATATATATATATATATATATAAATATGCGTTATTGAAGATAACAACGTACACCTTGCAGATATATCACCTGTAAGTACAAATATCTTATAAGAAATATATATATATATATATATATATATATATATATATATGTTTTTGCATGAATTTCACTCGGACTTCTCCTCGGCTCTGAATGAAACATTTGGTGTAGTCGGTTTGGGCATATTAATGAACCGGTTTATTACTATTCTGCGTGAATGAAACATAAATATATATATATATGTATATGTATATGTATGTGTAAGCAAGCAAATGGGAAGAATCTCGTGCGTTGGCTCGACGAAACTTTCCCTCGATGACCACGCCAATGTTCATGGACGAGTATGAAAAGAAGACCGAGTTACAAGTTAACATCTAAGAAAATGCTTTAAGCAAAGGGCCCGAAAGGTTTTTCAAAGGAATTGTAGATACAGGTAGTTTCGGTTAAAAGGTTACAAAAAGGGACAATATTAAAAGGATAAATCTTTAAGTGGTATTAGACTTTATTGAGATCCAATCTTATTCCTTTATTCGTTGAAAGTGCGATCCTCGGCTTAGAAAAGTCATTTTCTTTAGCTGAAAGACATCGTGACCGAAATTCGCCCCGGAATGTCGACCCCCAGGGTGAAACCACTTCATAATGATCGTTTCTGGCGCCACGCGGAGGCGCTGGCGTCTGCTTGGCTCAGCCGATAGAGGAACCACGAACGAGCCGACTGACCGAGCCACCCGTCCTCTCTTCAGACGAGTCCATCTTGCATTTCTACCTTCCCCTCTTTCTCTTTCCACCCTTCGCCACTTCTTTTCCACTTTAGATCTTTGTAAAAGAAAGGCCGGCGACCTAACTCCTAGCTTTCCCTTCTATCTGATTCATCCTCTTGCATTAGTTCCAGACCTATTAATCTCGTATTTTTCTAAGAATCTTTCCAAATTTGTCTGCCCATTTTAAAAATAACTAAATATCTTTCTAAATATATAATTAAGGTATTTCTCTCTCTCTCTCTCTCTCTCTCTCATAGATTACTATTTAAGATAGATCATTAGGAGTAATAATATTGAACAATTATTCTCAATAATGTAGATATAACGAGACAATTTATCAATATTGTAGCAAAGTATTAATTGGAGAATGCCTGAAATCATTGGATAAGACAAAAGCGAAGAAAAGTCATTAGTTTAGAGAGTGGAACGTAATGAAAAAAAATCAGGCGATATATCTCGTAGCGTGTTAGGATCGACGGCGCCGGTAGTGGAATAGGGTGGGGGGGTGTCTCTCGATGGTAGCGCCTCGAGCGGTGAGCGCCGGAAACGGCGCCGTGTCGGCGGCGACGGCGGCGGCCATGTTTAACAATCTTCCTTGTGTGTTTAGTATGCCGCGGTCGGTGTATCGGCGCGCCGTGACGAAACACACGGAACGAGACGTTGAGCAGAAACGAAGTTGCGGCGGCGGAGAAGAAAAAGGAGAAAAAGTGGGGGAAGTATCGAGAGGAGTGGGGGATTATAGTGAGTAAAGTGGTGGGGGAACTTCGTTGGAAATCGGTGCGGTTCGAGACGGGAACCTCGTGCGTGGAACGGACAGTCGCGTCGTCGAACTGAGTCGAGTCGAATCGAATCGAATCGCAGTCGAACGACGAACGTCGCCGGGGAACTACTTGCACTTCGTATTGCACTTCGTCTTCTTATTCGAGGAAGAAGAAGAAGAAGAAGACTTAAGTTTTTGTGAACTATTCTCTAATCATCATCATTGAGAATATCAATTAAATATAATCTAAAAAGTGACAAAGTGCGCGAGGTCTAATAAGGAAAGGAAATCAAAGAGGAAGAGACAGACGAGAATATCCCGTAACTGTTTCGAAAGAAACAGAGCAAAAAGGCATAGGAGACAACAAGTAGAAGAGGAGATAGTAATAAGCGCACGCGTTACGAATCAAAATCTCGCGTGTCCTCGTATTCTCGTTTATATATTTCTCATCTCGTTGGCAAAGAGAGAGGATAGAAAGAGAGAGAGAGAGAGAGGGAGAGAGAGAGAAAGAGGATTCTTCTTCTTCTCCCCTTCCGTATTCGAACGTGCCTCCTCTCTCGGTCGTTCTCAGTGGATCGCGGTAGCAATTCGAAGAATGTGACAGTGCGCGTCCTCGCGGTCGGCTCGCGCAAACGAATCGCCCACCGGCGATGGATGATGAGCGAAAAACACTGCCTGTTGCTGTTGTTCTTTTACTTGTTCTTCGTATCGCGGTGTGAGAACGTTGATAAGGAGGAATAAGAAGAAGGAAGAAGAAAAAGAAAAAGAAAAAGAGATAGAAGGTTAGAGAAGGGAGATAGAAAAGGAGAGAAATCGAAAGTTAAACGACAATATCGGGAGAAGTTGAGAGAGAGAGAGAGAGAGAGAGAGAGAAAGATAGACGATGCGAGCGGAAAATGTCAGACGGTGATACGCGAGCACGGATGACGGGGAGCGATCGACGCGACGATCTCGAGTTGGAGGTTGTTGCAGTGTCGTCGCTGTCCTCCTTCACGTCGTTGCTGTCATTTTACTTATTAGTGTCGTTGTCATCTTCTGGTTCGTCGTCGTGGTCGTGGTTGTCGACGTCGTCATCGTCGTCGTGGTTGACGTCGTCGTCGTCGTCGTCGTCTTTAAAGTCGACGTCGTCGTCGTTGTCGTCGTCGTCGTCGTTGTCGTCGTCGTCGTGTTGTTCGTCATCGAACGGCGCCGGCTTGCCGATAGGAATAACAGCGCACGCGGTTCGAGAGCACCAGTACCAGCACCAGTACCAGCACCAGTACCAGCAGTACCAGCCTTCGAGAGTAAGGAAAAGTGTCGTTTTGTGTTCGTCGTTAGTTATAACGAACGATAATATTTCGTTGATGTTGTGAGAAGTTTTGTTTTTTTCGTCGGTTTGAAGAAAAAGATAGAAAAAGGGAGAAAGATATAGAGATAGAAGAAAGAAGAGAAAAATAAAGGAAAAAGAAATATTGAAATATAATTATCGTGTATGTGTGGTGCGTGTTGGTTGTTGTTATAAATACGTTCGTGCCGAACGACTTGTGCAACAATTTGAATTTCGCGCGTGTCACGTGCAATAGTTGTTTGTTGTTGACCACCCTACCTTGGAATTTCTTTTATTTTTTCATAAATTCTTGTTGGGGTTATTTTAGTTCTTTTGTTTTTTTGTTTCTCGTGAACTCTCAGTGTTTTACTACTTTTTAACTCGTTACTTCGGGTGAAAATAATAATAATAATAATAACAACAACAACAACAACGAGGAGGGTAGTCGCTCGTTGAACGTTCGATGCTGACGAATCGCGTTCTGACGAAGAGAAGAAGAAAAAAAAGAAGAAGAAGAGGAGGAGCTGGCGGAGGAATAGGAGAAGAAATAGAAGAAGAAGAAGAGGAGCGTTTTCTTTCTCCCCTCTACTACCATTGCCGACACTCGCGTCGCGACGATAATAAACGTCGGGAAAGAGATAAAGTTTTGAGGAGCAGGAGGGAAAGGGAAAGAAAAAGAAAGAAAGAGACAGAGAATCTAGAGTGCGCCAGCGCATCCACCCTCTTTCTCTCGCCTTCTTCTTCGCCAACCACGTCGACGCGTAGGTAAATGAGAGTTCAAGGTCAGCCGAGCGGTACTCGACCTAACCTCCTTCGTCTTAGTCGTGTCGTCGTCGTGCGAAATCGTCAACCCACGAGGAGGACCGTTGTTAGTTTTTACCCCCCGACCCCCCAACCCTCTCTACCTCCTTTCAAAAGATTTCTGACGAGAAGAAATAAGATAGAAGAGGGAATATACAACACACACACACACACACAACACTCTTTTCTCGAGAAGACGACACGCGTAGTAGTAGTTGTGTGTTCAAAAATCTCCTCCGAGCTTCGTTTAAACGAAGTTAGTAGGGAGAAGTAGGGCTGACAGACACAGAAAGAGAGAAAGAGAAAGAGAGACTGTCACGCTATTTCGGGAACGCGCGATCTAAAGTGCGCCGAGATATACGCTGAACGTAAATAAATATACGTGGCCCGTCGAGCTCTTCCACCGGCTCGCGTTCTCTTCTTCCCTTCGTGAAAGAAGAAAGAGAGAGAGAGAGAGAGACAGACAGATAATCCTCGCCGGCGGTCGCGCATGCTACCCTCCCAAAAACAAAAGTACGTGTGAGTGAAGAGAGAGAGAGAGAGTGAGTGAGAGAGAGAGAGAGAGAGATAGAAAGACATTTTCTTCTCTCGTGCATTTCTTGTATTTTCTTTCGTTTTGTTTATACCTTGATTTTTCCGGAGGAGGGAATCTGGAAGTTCTCAGAAAAGCTAAAAGAGAAAGTAAGGAGTAAAGAGAGTAAAATAGTGGTGTAGTAGTGGTGGTGGTAGTAGTGCCTAATAGTGTGATAAGTGTGGGATAGTGTGTCGAAGGAGGAGGAGCAGGTTTGGATGCCGAGGAAAAAAAAGTATATTAAGAGAAACGATTTTGCGAGGTGTTTTAAAAGCGGTTACGTTGTTAAGTACTGGCAACCAAATGCGCGTACCGCAAATCCTGTTTCATGTTCATGTTCTGGAGCAAACGGACGGTGCTCACTAGACGTCTCCTAAAGGCGAAGGTCCGTGGGGAGCATGAAACCGAGTGTAAAGCTCAAGAGGATTCGTCACGTATTCATCGCACAATCGACACGACCGGCGCCGGAAACGACACGAGCGGCAACGTGACGACCACGGTACCGTCGTCGTCGGGTCAAACGAGCACCACCATCACCACCAGAGGAGGAGGAGGAGGAGGAGTTTCGTCGTCGTCGTCTTCGTCGTCGTCGTCGTCGTTCGCTGGAAAAGGACAAAGAGGAGCAAGAGGAGGAGGGGGAGCAGGAGGATCAGGAGGATCAGGAGCTGCTCGAACGAGCAGCAGCAGCACGTCGAGTAGATTGCATCAAGGTTGCTGCGGTGGGGATCAAAGTTACGACGATGACGAGTATCCAAGTCGATTGTTGAGGTGCAAGGAGCTTCTAAAAACGCTTAAGGAGAATCAATTGGAGATGTTATTGACCGCGGTCGAAAGTTGCGGTGCTGATCTCAGCTCGTGCATCTTAGTGCCGAGACAGCAAAGACCTTTTCGTAGTAGCAGCGATTCCGACAGCGAGATCGACGATCAACAACAACAACAACACCGTCAATCGGATAATCAACAATTGGATCAGCAATACCACAGATCACTACCACCATCACCCCACCATAGGCACCAACATCATTTGCATCATTTGCATCATCATCATCATCATCATCATCACAATCATCATAATAATAATAACAATAATAATAATAATAACAATAACAATTTGCGATATCACCGAAGACGTCGTCGTTCTCCTGAAAACGGTGATCATTACCAGGTGCAACAGCAACCACAAAACATTAGTAATAGTAACTTATCTGAGGAACAACAATCCTCTTCGAGAAAAAGATACTCGACCAACAGGATACCGGTCAGAGGTTCGATCGAAAACAACACATCGATGGATCCACTCGTGTTATGCTGCCAAATCTGGCGATGGCCAGATCTCGTACCCTCGGAAGAACTCAAGAGGCTTCCTATCTGCCATTCGGCTAAGGATCCTGTCTACGTCTGTTGCAATCCCTATCATTGGAGTCGGCTCTGCAAACCCGGTAAGTTTATTCAACGCTTTAGAATTTATACGGATGAAAATACTTTTGTTATCGCATGCTACCAATCGTTTAATCGAAATTCAAAAATTCCCGCTACGAAAGTAGATCGAATCGTGCGTCTCCTTTTATTCTTTTTACCCTTTCTCTTTCTCTCTCTCTCTCTCACACACACACACACACACACACATTTCATTTCGTTTCGTTTCATTTCGTTTTTCTCGCGTATGCGCCAGCATGTTTACGTAATTCTGTCGGAGCAACAGCAGCAGCAGTAACAGCACATTGAATGCTACTGTTGCTCGCACGTGTTCCTCGTCTTTATTGTGACAGGCTCTTTCTTTCGCGATTCGATCGTCAAACAAACACCATTTTTTTTCTCTCTCTCTCTCTCTCTCTCTTTCTCGTACAAACACACACATACAACTACTTGATAAAGTAGGTGGTAGCGATAGTCGATGATGATGCCACGGATACTCTTAGAAAAAAAGGAACAAAAAAATCCTATCCGCAATCGAGTCGTGCGCTTTTAAAAGACGTTAAACGATTTCGTAATTAATCGTATCACTTAAAAGACAAAAAGAAAATTAAGAAAGAAAGAAAGAAAGAAAGAAAGAAAGAGATGATATTCCGATGGTCTTCTGCACGGTTCGCGGAACGCGTTTTATTCGAGTTGCGTCGCGGTTTACCGTATATCTGCCCTCGTTAAGGAGTTTAATCGTGTCGGCATCGGGATCGATCTGTTAAACGCATGTTAAAATATTTATCGACCGAAGAAAATCGCGTTCAGTTTAGTCCCTGCATATATATATATATATATATATATACATGTGTACGTGCGTGCGTGCATGCGTTCGTTCGTTCGTATTCTTGAGTTTACGTTTGATATGTGTGTGAGAGAGAGAAAGAGAGAGAGAGAGAGATAGAGGAAGTTCTCTTTTACACGTAGCTCGTAAACCATTCGCGATAATTTAGGTGAAGAACTTCTACTTCTTCGACATGTTTTTTCTTTTTTTTCTTTTTCCCCTTCTCGAGAATTATTTAACGACTACGAATAAAGACGGGACATGAAAACGACAGTAAACCACAACCGGCAGGAACGGTATTCGTCACCTATCTATCATCCATACACACCAAAAGGATCGGGATGTAAAACCTTGATTTATTGCTTTACCTTCGAGGATTACCTACTGTTTGCACGACCATAATGTTTCAAACGTAATACTTCTGATACCACTTTTCCACCGGACGCCATTATTGTTCAATTTCATTTCTAAAAGTTACTCTCTTTTCATTCTTTCTTTCTTTCTTTCATAAGAATTTGTTACGTCATCGTAACAGTCAGGTATATTTTATACTACCTTGAAACTTTGAAATTTTTCGAGTTGGTTAAATAAAAAAAAATGTCTGATGAGGAGGACATATTGGAGGACATATTTGAGGAATATTGGGAATAGAAAAAAAGGATGGTATTGGACATATAGTTCAGTTTTGTATTCTTCTTCTTATCTTTTATTTATTATATTATTATTAATTGGCATTAGGAACTCAAAAGTTTATTGCCACAAATAACAAATTCCGCCATTGTTCCTGTCCTTCACCTTTCAGTGCGACTCCTCCATTTACAGTCTTCCTATTCTATTTTTTTTATTTATTTATTATATTAATTTTTTTCGTTTGGTTTGTCTTTGTCCATTTGTACGTTCGTTAACATCATCAAAGTTTTATCAAACTAGCAAATTTATGGCAGACCATTTTCGTGACATCCGTTTCTTCAAGTTGAGGAGGTTTTTCTTCTTTTTTTTTTACGTATCTCCAGACAATTCCAATCCCGGCACCAAGCACCACCGGTACTGACACTGGCACCACCAACACCATTACCCTATTACCATCACCATCATTCGACGTGACTTTAACTGTAAAAAAAAAAAAAAAACAAGAAACCCGTCGTCTCTTATGCCGATGTGAAAACAAGAAAAAGAGAATGAGAGAGTGAGAGAGAGAGAGAGAGAGAGTAGGCGCCAGTAAAGTAAGAGAACTCCTTTACGTAACTCGACCGATCGTCGTTTAAAGCGTCGTAAAACGTGAACGCGTACACAGTCCTCTGTGTGTTCAGAAGTGTACACCCAGTGAACAACAACCCATCCACCCACCTTCTTTCGAATCGAATCGACGACTCGTGACGTTGCTTAGTTAGGTATTACCTCTTTTCCCTCCCTCTCACCCTCTCCCCCTCCCCCTCCCCCTCCTCCTCTTCCCACAGTCCGACGTTGTTCTTTTTATTTGTATTATTTTTTTCTCACAGATTAAATCACTATAAATAAAGTAGGCGCGACAAGTCAAGATTATAATCTCCAATCGAATAGTTACGATTAAATTCACGATGGATGAATTACATTTTATTCCCGTTTAAAGTTTTCATTTCAAGTTGTTGTTGTTGTTGTTTTTTGTTTTTTTTTGGTTTCTCATTTTTTTTTAACGGGAATCCTTCGAATTCCATCACCAACTACTACTACTACTACTACTATGAGACAGACACCCCTGTTTCTAATAATAGATTTTAAAGAGGCGTTGAAAATTTGTCGCATGAAATATGTTTTCCCTTTCGTTGCACACTCGCGATTATGATTTTTTGAAAAAAAAAAAAAAAAAAAATGTTGAAATTTTTGACTGATTACAATAAGAAGAAAAATAGTTTGAGTATTATTTTCTATTTCCATTTCGTTTATTTCGTTCGTTCTTGGGTAGAGAGAATAAGGATTAACAAAAGAAAGATTTTGATCTTTATGGTACAAGAACGTTTCGTGATGTACTGATACAAAAGTTAGGTACAGTGAAAGGAATCCGGGAGGAGGAGGAGGAGGATGAATCCAACGTGGAATAGTAATCGCGTGTTTTAACACACGTTGAACGCCACACGAATTCTTAGGAAAATCTCCGTCAGGCCACATGTCTTACTTTGTATTAGTAAGACACGATGTGTCAGTCACCTGTGACTGACGTGGCCTGAACAAAAAAAGTCTAGTGTCAGTCACCGATGCTTGACGTGGCGCTCAACGTGTTAATGTAAAGTATTCTTCCGTTGCACTAGCAAAATACACGTATTCTAACCTAACGACAACGACGACAACGTATACGACACAACGTACATGTCTGTTATTCGATGTTTCGTTGCTGTTCTTCATCGTATCATGAAAGAAAAGGGCAAACTGAAAGAAAGAATGAAAGAAGAAGAAAAAGAAGAAGAAGAAGAAGTGGTAGTATAAAAAGAGCGAGGGAGTCGAACGTATATCTCAAAATAGAAACCGGCATATATATCGTCTTCTTCTTCTTCTTCTTCTTCTTCTTTTCTTTTCTTCTTTTTCTCAAAGAAGAAGAAGAGGAAGGAAGATACGATTTAAACCGAAACAAGATGATGGATCTTAGGCGTTAGATATTGGTGGGTAGGCACCACGGTAACAGAACAGCAATAGAAAGCAACACCACATCACAACCAGCAGCAGTAACAGCAGCAGAAGCAACCTCGGGAAAACGAACAAAAAAAAGAAGAAAGATGAGCGATAGGGACAGAAAACAGAAAGAGAAAAAGAGAGAGAGAGAGAGAGAGAGGAGTAGGAGGAGGTAGAGTGGTGATGCCGGCACGTTCTCTCTCTCTCTCTCTCTCTCTCTCTCTCACTCTGTTCTTACCAATAGCTGCACAATCAGAGTTTATGGGCAGAAGGAAATGAATCTAAAAATAAAGCGTATATTGAGCGAGTTGTGTTCACTCTCTCGGTGTAGAGAAAGAACGAAAGTGAGAGAAAGAGAATGAAAAACAGAGTGAGAGAGAGAGAGAGAGGGAGAGAGAGGGAGCGGCTGGCGGGTTCGCGCGATGCGACGCGACGGTGAAGGATGGAAGGAGTTAAGGGTGGCGGGGTGAACGAAGAAGGGGTGGGTGAGAGGAAGGGAAGGAGGGTAAACTATATAGTATAGCAACCGACCAACCGACCGGCCGGCAGGCAGGCAGGCAGGCAAGCAGGCAGGCAGGCCGGCAGACCGGCCATTCGAGGTGGGGCCGAAGGGGTGAAGGGTGGGAGGGAGGCACGGCACGGCCCGGCGCCGCTGCGTGTCATTGCTGGCGCCAGCTAATTGTCGAGGCCAGCCGGCATTAGCCGAGGAGTTGACCGAAGCAAGCCGAAGGAAGCCGGTCGGTTTCTTTCGTGAACACGCGCTCGCGCGCGCGCACACGCATACGACGACGCGACGACGACGACGACGACCGACGTGTTCAAGCGCGGATCGGCCCGCACACCGGCGTCGAGCTTTGGACGTTGCGCTAGTATTCCGCAGCTGCTTCACGCCGCTACCGCTACCACCGCTACTACCGCTGACGACGACGACAATTTTGCTCTCTGTGTGTCGTCAAAATTGAGATATTCCAATTTTACATTTCTTCGTTTATATATATATATTTCGTTGTTTATAATTACAATGATATAATAATAAGATGTAAACGAAGAAGTAAACAACGATGAATAATAAATCATATGTGTGTACGATTTTAAATTGGATATAATTAATAAAAATTTATTATTATGCGTGTATATAGATTTTTTATTTCAACGGATACATATATATGTAAATATAAATTTGGCAATGTGTCTGATCTCTTACTTGAGTTTATTTTATTTTTGTAGATTTTATTTAGAATCGTCGATGATAAATGAAAACGACGAGAAGAACAACAAACAAATAAACAAAAACGGCGGGGGGGGAGGGTTATTGATAGTCGTGGTATCTTTGTTCGAATTTTTTTGTTTTTTATATTAACAGGGAAGATCCTATCTATCTATCTATCTATCTATCTATCTTTTTCTTTCTCTCGTGTTATCTCAGCTATTTTTATAGTCATTTTAATTATCTTATTATTACAGTGTAGACTCGAGGCACCGTTGGAATAGAAATGAAATATCGTACGAGTATAGTAGTGTATCGTAATTAGAATAACGATTAATGTTTGTTTGGCTAAGGTAAACTGCGTTAACGTTTTACGATGGCGCCTTGTTTTCGTAACACGCGTCGTCGATGATACCACCGATGATTTGAAAGAGAAGGAGGAGGAGGAGGAAGAGGAAGAGGAGGAGTAGAAAAAGAGGTGGTACTGTTGCTGTTGGTAGTGTAGCAAAAGAATGAGTAGAAGGAAGAAGAAGAAAAGAAAAAAAGGCAAATTCTGCTGCACCGGCGCGGCGCGGCGCGGCGCCTTTATCTTTGTTTTTGCATTCGCCGTGTTATTTCGTAGTGTGTGCGTTTAGCAGCGCGCGCGAGCGCGAACCCGTTAATAATTCACTCCGACGAATCGATTATCATCGAGCGACGACGATATCGTTACGCAAACCGTTGCCCGACCCCGTAGTCGTAGTCGTAGTCGTAGTCGTAGCCGTTGTAGTAGCAACCTATAAATGTGCGTATATATTTACGTATATAACACACATATTAGGTATAATATCTTTCTATTCGCGTTCACGCGCGCGCGCGCGATCTTTTATCTATGTCGTCGTCGTCGTCTTCGTTGGTGTCGGTGTCGCGTGGTTCATTCGTATATTAAGTATAGCATCCGTGGCAGTAGCCTTTGCTTCTTTAATTTCGCGTTCATCCTTCTTCTTTTCTTTCCCAATCCCCCCCTCTCTCTCTCTCTCTCGGAAGTTACGTTCGCGTCAAGTTGCGTCACATTGAACGGACACCAGAGGATATCTCCCTGAGAGTAATCGATAAGATTTCAAATGTATATATATATGTATATATATTTGTACTTAACTTCAATGATTAGTAGCATAAATCTTTCTTTCGATCGTTCCCAAGTTTATATTCTGGAGATTGGTATTGAATTAAATTCATTCATATATCCTCTCCTCACTGAGATTCTTTTTCTTTCTCGAAGGCGAGATAGCTCGAGGCAGCAACCGGCAACAATCAAGGTCATCGTGTTTTGGCAAACCGGGATAGTATCGGCGCTCGGCGCTCTCTCATGCTCTGTCGAGAATTTTAAGTATCCCCTGAGTCAGCGACTTTATTTTAATTGATATGCCACAGCGCACGATATCATACCCAACGAACGTGAGAAATAACACGAGAGAGAGAGAGAGAGAGAGAGAGAGAGAGAGAGAGAGAGAGTGGGAGAGAGAGAAGAAGAAGAAGAAGCTGCCTTCTCTTCTTCTTTCATCTCTTTCTATCTTTCGATCTTTTTGCGTGTGGTCTATTTTCGTCTTACGGATCGGTGATCGAAGCTAAACGAGAAAAGAAGAAGAAGAATAAAAAGAAAGGAACGTTAATCGTGTTCCGCCATTATGGACAAATCCAGGTGAGCAAGATGGCGCTTTGGAAGATACCCGAGAAACGATCGAACCTAACCCGAGCAATCATCATCATCATTATCATCATCACCGTCATTCTAATTGGGAACGAATTTCTCATCGATAAGAATTTTGTTGTTCTTTATTTTTCATTTTTTTTTTTCCCCTACTTTTGCATAATACTCTAGGATAGATCCGTTATTTGTGTTGGGGGACAATCTATAAATATATGCTGACGGGATTCTTGTCGGGGAAAGGAAGGAAGGGAGGAAGGGAAGGGGAAGGGGAAGGGGAAGGGAAGGGTAAAGATGCAAAAGATAAATATATTCATATATTTGCATAAACACTCGAAATAATCATCTTGGTAAATAAAATTGAAAATACGATGATATCAAGTCTCTAACATGAGAGATTTGTCTGAAAAATATGCCGCCATTTTGAAAAGGCAAACTCGTTCGAACAAATAGAAGACCATCATCAACATCAACATCAACATCAACATCCTCTTCCTCTTCGTCTTATCTTTTTCCCAAATTTTAACTGCAGATAATCGAAAGACATGTTTTTATTATAATTTTCTACAAAAAAAAAAAAAAAAGAAAAAAAATATTTGATTAAAATGAAGTAAGGAAGTAAGGAAGGAAGAATATGGCGCATTTTTACAGACAAAAAATCACGTATGATAATAGTAATAATAAAGAAAGATAAAAAAGAGAAAAAGAAAGAGAAAGAGAGAGAGAGAGAGAGAGAGTGGTATCATCTTGTCGACAAACGCGTGTGTGTAGGCGCGACGGTACGTCGGCCATTAAGCGTCGTTGAAACGACGCCGTCCGCCGTCGTCGTAGTAGTAATAGTAGTAGTAGTAGTAGTCATCGTCGTCGTCTTCTTAGTCGCCGTCGTTTTAGTCGCCGTCGCCCCCGTTATCGTCTAGGAATTTCGGCGCGAGTAAATGTATAAGCATTCTTCTACTTCTTCTTCTTCTTCTTCATCATCATCATCATCGTTTGTTCACACATAACAAATAATTCCTTTCTGTGATACCTATTCTCATCAAATATATCTAATCACACACACATGTTCACATGTGAATTTAACGTAACACACAACTCGAACGAACAACAAGGGAGGGTGTGTGTATGAGGATTTATCGTAAAATGTTAAAATAAATATTATCTTTGATATGATCGAGACTTCCCCCCCCCCCAAATAGGAAAACAAGCAAAGGGGTGTTGCAGATGAGGTGGAGTGGGGGGTGGTGAGAGGTTAGGGGGTGATAGGTGTAAGAGATTAGATGAAAGGGGTGTTGTCGTCAAAGTCGTGGAATGTTGAGCAAAGTTTGAAGTTAAGACAAAGAAGTTGGGGGAGGGGGTGGGGGGTGTTGTTGTTGTTAATAGAAAAGGAAGAATTTGATTATAGGTTATAAGTTTATTTTCGCATTGGAGTATTGATGAAAGTTATTCAATCGCCATTTTCTTAGTTATTTTTGATTCGAGGCTTGCGTTCCATCGGATTCTACGAATGGTAACGGTGGCGTCGAGAAGGCGTTTCTATCTATCTCTCTCTCTCTATCTGTTTTTCTTGATTTCTTTCTTTCATTCTTTCTTTCTTTCTTTCTTTCTTTCTTTCTCAAGGGTTACCTTGACGTTTGAGATATTCGCGCTGGTGCCCGTCCGTCCGTCCGTTCGTCCGTTCGTCCGTCCATCGGTCCCACCGTTCTATGCTTTCAGAACGAGGAGATACGTAAAAGGACGAAAAACGACATACCGGTTTCACTGGTGCGTGCCAATAATAGAACTCAACCGCTTTTGGACTGGGACTTCTAACGGAGCGCCGTTTCTTGAGATATTTCGTATCGCAGGCAATGCCATCGAGATGAGATGAAGAACAAGAAGAACAAGAATAAGAAGAAGAAGAAGAAGAAGAAGAGTAAAGTAGAAGAGAAGAGATGAGATGAGATGAGAGAGGTCTTCTTCTCCTTCTCTTCATCTAACTAAACCAGCCCACCATGGTCCTTGAGTCCATTTCTTCTTCTACTTCTATTTCTTCTTCTTATTATTATTCTTTTTCTTTTTCTTCTACTTTTTGTTGGTTTTTTTTTTTTTGTTATTTTTTTTCTAGCCAATTCACGTTCACATATTTTACCAAAGATTTGAACCCCACTCTTGAATCTTAATAACGGATCGTTGAAGAAGCAAACTAAAAAACAAAACAAAAAAATAATAAGCTGATATAATCGTAGGGTTAGAATTTTCTATGATTTGTATTAGGAATTATTTTGTTTTTTTTATTTTGGCCTTTTCAATTGTTTCAAATAAAAAAATTATTCATTCGCTTTCGACAAGTGTGTTTTAGCAAAATATTAAATATTAATTTAATAAATATTAAATATTAATTTAAATTAATTTTAAAAATAGCAAAATATTAAAGTTTTGAAATTTAATTAATTTAATTATAAATAAATAAATTATAGTTAATTTATATTGAATAATAAATAAATTAATTATACTATTATATTTTATAATAGTATAATATATAAATCAATACAATAGATAATAATAAAATCAAATAAATAACAATAAACTTATTAATTAATTCAATTATACCAACATATATTATTTAAAATAATAATATTTGTAGATTTTTTTTTTTTAAATTTTAGATAAAATTGTATGAACGTTTGTTTATCATACTAATTGCTATAAGTAAACATATATGTATATATATAACATATAATTAGTTAACCTAAATTTAAAACAAAATTTCTAACCAACAACAGTTTTAAATATAAATTTCAATGTCTCCCCTTTCTCCTTTCCCATATACTCGGTGGTAAAGGCCTTGAAGAGATTAAACTTACTCACATATATATACATTTACTGTAGTATATATATATATATATATATCTATATATGTTTGTATTAGTATTTGTATTATGTTTGAAGAAACTATCGTAGTATTTACACGGTAGTCTCAGATTGTAATATTTGTTTATTTTGTTACAGAGTCGCCGCCACCCCCCTACTGCCTTATCGCTGACAGGCTGAGACCAGAAGGTAAGAAAAACTTTCTTCACTTCATTATTATTATTATTATTATTATTATTATTATTATTATTATTATTATTATTATTATTATTATTTTAAATTTGATCGTAGACACATCTTTCTGTAATACAGTATTGTCTCGTCTTCCTTCTCACTAAGATACCAGCGATAACTCATGTTTATTGCTCGCAAACGTCTCCTAGCTAGGTTGGTTTGCTGGTTGGTTAGTTGGTTGGTTGGTTGGGTTGGTTGGTTGGTCCTCTTATACGCGTGCGCTACGCGTGTCACGTTTCACGACCTAGCCCAAAGCAAGCTTAGAAAATAATCTTTTACGATAAGCGTATCGAAATAATACACGGTTAGAGTTGTCTGTCTTTCTGTCTGTCTCTCTGTGTCTCTGTATGTTTCATATATGGATATTTAAGTGATGTCTGTATGTGTATATATGTGTGTGGGTGAGTGTAGTATTAAATGTTTTCTCTTAGACAGCAAAAATATAAAAATAGAACGAAATATGACAACCATTATGATGATGATGACGATGATGAATAGTTGAAAGAATAAGAGTCAACCAATTGAAATAATTTTGATTATTTTTGTATATATATATATATATATATATATATATATATATATATTTTGTTTTTTATTTTTTATTTTTTGTTTGTAGTATTATTATTCGTGTAACTGGTAGCAAGTTAAGATATTATATGAGATTTGATTAGAGATCTTTCGCGGCACATTAAGTTTATCATTTTTATTCTGTTATCTTGGAATTATATCTATAATTGCGAACTTATATATATAATACATGAACACGATCAATGACGCGACACATACATTTTTTTGATAACCAAATATGCGACTAGATCTCGATTTACCGGTTAGGTTTTTTTTTTATCTTACATCTTGGTTATCAACAAATATATATATATGTACGACGTATATAGATAAGTATTATTGGTATTTATATATTATTATTTTTTAATATATATATATTATGTTTATATTATTATTTTATTATATACATATATATAATATTTTATAAAAAATAATATAATTTATAATATAATTTTTTTTTTCTTTTCACCCCCGCGGGATTTGAACTCGGGAACATACGATTATTATACTCTGGATGGACATTAACTGGATGGTGATTTGCCTCACTGAGCCATGTGAACTTTAATATAATTTATAATATTTGTTATATTATATATAGTTATAATAATTTTTATAACATATAATATTTTAATTTAATAATATATATATATATATATATATATATATAATATTAATATAATATAATATAATATAATATATATTTTATTTTATTTAAATAATAATATATATTTT